GGTCGAATTCGGAGATCCTGAGGCAAGGCGCGTAGCCGAGACTTCCGGGAATTCCAAACGAACACGAACATGGATAATCACCGAGTATTCAAACGGTGACGTCCAAGTCTTGAGGACGGTCAAAAATGGGGTGTCTACAGAACCGTGCATATATGGGCAGTTTCACAAACACATTAGGGTATGGTGCGGTTTGGATTTTATCTAATTTTCGGGTTGCGGCGGGTTGTGGGTTTGACCCGCACCCGCCCAACCCACCCGCATAAAACCATTTTTTTTTTTTTTAAATTTGACCGTTCAAAAAAACCCCTTTTTAAAATTGCATTTTGGTTTTGGATGAATATAAGTTAATGAATTTTTATTTTATTTTTTTGCATTTTGCATTTTGGATGAATGTAAGTTAATGAAGAATTACTCTTTTTTTTTTTTTTTATTTGGGTTAGGAATGATGAATGTAGGATTTTTTTAATTTGGGTTAGGAATGATGAATGTAGGATGAATGCAAGTTAATAATAAATGTAGATTTTGAATGATTTGTTTAGGTTACGAATTGAGATAACTGCATGTTAATGATGAAGGTAGATTTTGAATGATTTGTTAAGGTTACGAATTGATTTTGTTGTGTTTTTTATTTTATAAGTTTTTTATAAGTTTTAATTCATTAATTATTAATGTTAGAGCATTTTAGAAAATGGGAGGAAAAAGGTCTAAAAGAAATATTGATAAAAAAAAATGGGGAAAAAAAAAGATTTAACAAAAAAAATTTGGAAAAAAGTTCAATCCGCAAACCGCCCGCGCAACCGCGAACCCTATCCGCACAAACCGCAAACCGCATTGCGGGTGGTTGCGGGTTGACTTTTTCTCAAACCGCATATATGCGGGCGGGTCCAAACCGAACCGCAAACCATCCCAAACCGAACCGCGGACACCCCTATTAGACGCTACATTGGAGAGCAGGTAAAGATTCCTTTCGATTAGTGGTCCAAAGGGTTGGAATACCATTGAGGGAATCCCGCTGATTATGAACAATCAGTCATGCTCATCAGAATAGTCTAAACCAACTTGGCACTAAATTCAGACGACCAAATTCGGTCATCTGGAATTTTGAGAAAAGTAAGGCATTTGAAACTTCATAAGAAAGGAACAGTAAGCTAGTAAATAGAATGAAAATCATTCCAACTACTCTTTCATAGTCTAGTTTCTTCTTCTTTTACTTTTCTTTTAACGGGAATAGTTTAGCTTCTCAAGTGAACAACTCCATTTCATGCATACTACTAAAGGAAAATAGAAGTCCAGTCTGTTATCACTGTCACCTTCTTCATTACCATAGATTTTTGGACATCTCATCATGTGCAGATTCAATTAGGGGCTTCCTAGGGATTATGTATCAGATAAAAGAAGCATCAATTGATTCTATTTCACCGAATTTTTTCACCTTCTATGTGGCTGCTTAGTAATATAGTGGGCCTATTATTTTCCCTTCATTAAATAAGGGAGACAAAGAAAGATTAGTATTAGAAGTCTACCATGGATAAGGTAAATTCCACTGAATTTCCCTTGAGGTTTCTAGCTACATTAGTACCTCTGCGTTCTGGAAATTACATCCCCTCCCTATGTTTTTAAGTCACATTACAATTTTTCTCTATCTGTTAATCAACTGTTAGGTCAACTAATACATAGGGATGATGTTAGCTATTAAAAGTTTTAAGATACTGATTTTAACTCTAGTAACATATTCCATCTCTTGTGTTCCCTCTGATCTCTCATTCCACTGCCTTGTAACAAACTAACAACAGGCACAAAAGCGGAACAAAAAAGATGCTTCTCCCCAAAACACAACAATCTAAAGCCACCAAATTTTATATAAAGCATCAAAGACTTAAAGCCCAATTTACCAAATAAAGCCATAAAACCAATCCATTAACACTGACTGAAGATTATGGGCGCCATGAATACCTGAAGGGAAACCCATTGACCTACAGATCACCAATTGCACAAAACAGCAGAAACCCATCACTAGAATTGTTGTAAAACACACAATACAACAATAAAATTATAGAATTCAAAGAAAAAGGAGACAAAGCTTGAGAAGCTTACAATAAATGTGGGTATTATAGCTTGGCCTCTGGTGCAGACTGGTTAATGCTTACTCATTGTGGGAGAATTTCCACAGTAGATATTACCCTGACAGCCGGTGGCCGCAGAGTGTTAGTCTAGAAGCTGCATAATTCTTGAAAATCAGTACAATTACTCAAAATAAGTTTTTCAACCTTTCTTAATCTCCTCATCCTTTACTAAGCCCTTCAAATCCTTTCTTATAATACACTTAACATGATTAAAGTTTCTTGTTTTCCTTTCTCTCATTTTAACAAGTTTGTAAACATACTTTTCTCCATCTTTACTATCAAATCTAATATAAAGATCATTTCAAGACCTCTTGCAGTAGGTCTTACTTTCCCATCATTGAGTCATTGGATCAATATTTGCAATAAGTCTGCCTTTCCCTCTCATTGGGTCATTATTTAGAAAAGCATACTTTTCTAAATTCTAAATGCACCTTTCTTTTGGAACTGCCAGATATTGGGAATTTTGGATTACAAAATTCATAGACCATATAAATTTTTGTTCCCCTTGTTTGCTTGTTCATTGTTGATTGGGTAAATGGCTTGCAGTGCCAGCCCAAGTGCAAGGCCATTAACGCCATTGCCTTGGGCACACAAATTGGGGAAGGCCTCATTTTGTGTGATGCCCATATAATAATTATAAATTTCTTGAGTCTTGTTAATGAGTGTCCCGAAATAATTGGTTAATAAAATTTAAAATGGTAGGGCATTTTATTCACACACTTTTATAAATAATGTATAACATTTTCAAACTTCTTAACAAGTGTCTTTACGGAAACCGTTTACAAAATTCATATTTTCAATGCTTCTTTTGTAAATCCCAAGTTTTTTATTTTTTGGCCAGCTTTAATTATCCTTTTATGTTTTATTTAATTTTAAAAAATTAAAATTAGATGATGGCAGTTTGAAAAAATATTGTCTTCATTTTGTAAGTTTTGATGATTTTTATAAAATTGATAGTTTTTCCAAATTAAAAATTTTAAAACAATTCATACAAATATTAGGAAAGGAAAATACACCAATTGACATACTAAATTATATTTAAAAAATCTAGATTATTTTTCAAATGCAAGTATTGCTTACAAAATATTACTGACAACACCCATAACAATTGCTTCTGTAGAAAAAAGTACTTCAAAATTAAAATTTATAAAGCCCTACCTATGGTTAACTATATCACAAGAAAGATTAAGTGTGTCAGCAATTTATCCTTGAAAATGATATGTTATAGAAACTTGATTATAAAAGCTTAATTAGTAATTTTGCATCACAAAAAGTAACAAAAATTATTTATCAAAAAAAAAAATTATATACATTATTAGTTTTAGTTATGTAATTTTTTTTTTAATTATAATAATATTTTAATTATAACCCATAGAATCTTATGGTGTTTTGACAACATGTCAAAAAAAGTCAACTTTTTTATTTTTCAGCTTTTTTAACAAAAAAAAAAAGTCAATTTTTTTATCCAAAACAACCTAACTTTTTACCAAAAAAGTTATTAAAAAAGTCAACTTTTTATTAACTTCCCAAAACACCACTATTTTTTATCAAAAATGTCTAAGACCCTTTTTTTTTCCACTCCCTTTGACCCCCTTTCTTTCTCATTAGTTATATTTTATTTTTTTATTTTTTTGTTTCCCTTGTCCTCCAATCATCAATCATCACCCGCCACGTGGGTGTGGGGTGGTGGGGGTGGTGATTGGAGGGGGTCTCTTTCATGGCTCTTAAAATATATACAAAATTTTGGTGGCCCTTGAGAAACACTACATACACATACAATATGTTGGTGGGCCAAAATAAGCCCCCTAATTTTTTTTTTCTTTTTTTTTTTACCTTCTTTATCTATTAGATTTTAGTGGAATTAATAATTTTGCCTTAATTTTTTTACCTAGATCTTTGTTAATTTTAATTGAATAATTTTTTCCTAATTTTTTTGTCCTAATTTTGTTTCATTAAATTGTTTTGCTTATAATTTTAATGATTATATGTGCAAGTAAATTTTTTTGTGGCTACAAATAAATAAAAAATTTGTAACTTATCGTTTTATCCATGATTTTTTTTTTTTTTTTAACATAAGAAATCATTACAACCAAAACTAAGAAGCTGTCAACAAACAGAGAAGGGGAGAAGGAGGGTCAGACACCCAGTTTACTGGGAGCTGGTCATGAAGGCATGCCCGTGCGACCCAATGTGCAACTTTGTTCGAAGTCCTGGGCCTCCACTGAAAGGAAAACCGGCCCTGGGATGCCAAAAGCTTGATGTCACTCAGAATAGCTCCACATTCCCATGGAGGAACCGTTTCGGTAGCACAGAGGTGGATCACAGCTTTGTTGTCCCCTTCAACCAAAACATCCAACAGATTGTGCTGGTGGGCAAGAAGACAAGCCAGCCGGCATGCCTGAGCTTCCCCCTGGAAAGGGGAAGAGATAAACATCTTCTTTGTAAGGCCATCCACCAGATGACCGTGTTCATCCCTTAACACTGCCGCAGCCGCCGCACGAGAAGAGCCTTGAAGAACTGCAACGTCACAATTAACTTTGTAAAGACCAGGCTGAGGAGGATCCCATCTAGTCATAGCAGCATCTGTCTGAGTGGGTTGCCTAGAAAGACCGACGACCCGGCGATAGACCCCCACTTCAAATTCAGCCATAGCCACTCTAGCTCGATGAAGAGTCGAGAAGGGCTCAATAGGAATATGATTGAAAACAAAATTGTTACGATCCTTCCAATCCATGCCACCAAACTGAAAAATAATTTCGATCCTCGTCATTCCCAAGGATGTCCAAAATGACACTAGACCACTGCAGGACCGAGTGAATTGCACCCTAATCTACTCTATAATTGAGAGTACTGCCAAACCAAACTGGGCGAACCCAATCACAGCCAAAAAGGATATGTTCCATAGTTTTCGGAGTCGTATGACACAGTGGGCACGTTGAGAAGGAAGCACACTTTCGTCTGAACAAATTCTCCCTTGAAGCAAGCACATTTCGACATACCCGCCACCAAAAGTGATGAATTTTCAGGGGAACCTTCAACCTCCAAATTTGCTTCCAAAAGGAGCTCAGAACCTGAAATGAAGACGATGGAATGTGGCTGGAAGACCCAGAGCTTCCCATCATGGCAACATGGTAACCGGACTTCACAGTATACTGACCTTGTGGCTTCGAAATGCCAGATAAGAGAATCTTCGGTTGGTGCAAGCGAGATAGGAATAGAACTGATGGCTTGAACTTCTGGCTCCGACACTTGAGAACACAATAAGTTTAAATTCCAGCTCTTGCGAATAGGATCAATAACATCTTCGACTGTAACTACCTCTGTCCCGATGGGTTTAGAAGAATAAATTTTGAAGTTTGGGAGACCCGGAATCCAGCAGTCCTCCCAAAACAAAGCATTCGAGCCGCTATTTATTTTCCACCTAATTCCTTGCTGTAAGAGTTGACGCCCTTGAAGAAGACTTGTCCAGCTCCATGAAGGCTGTCGGCCTTTAGAAGCGTGCATAAAATCTGTGTGGGGAAAATAAATGCCTTTCAAAATGCGAGCACAAAAGGAGTTTGGATATTTCACCAATCGCCAGCCTTGACGGGCAAGAAGCGCTGAATTAAATGCTTGAAAATCACAGAAGCCAAGCCCTCCTTGAAACTTGGACAAAGCCAGCTGACCCCATGAGATCCAATGGATGCCTTTGTGGTCTAGTTCACCTCCTCACCAAAAGTTACTGATGTAGGAATTGAGTTTAGCACAAAAATGTTTAGGAAAGGCAAAACATGCCATGGCATAGGAGGGGATAGCTTGAACCACAACTTCAATTAGAATTTCTCTACCAGCTTGTGATAATAATTTTTGTTTCCACCCTTGAAGTTTGGATATGACTTTCTCAATGATGAACTCAAAAGCAGCTGATTTAAATCGTCCCTAAAAAGAAGGCAATCCCAAATACTTCGCATGAGGAGAAGAAATTTTGAAGCCAGAGAGAGCACAGATAGAATCACAAACAGCCGGGGCAACATTTGGCGAAAACTACACACTGGATTTCTTAAAATTTACCCTCTGACCCGAAGCCTCGTAATACACCTTCAAGAGATCCAGGATTTTTTGACATTCCGTGTCCTCAGCTTTCAAGAAAAGCAGCATATCATCAGCGAAGAATAAGTGCGTTAAGGTAGGACACAACCGTGTAATCTTGAAACCAAAAATCTCTCTATTTTGCAAACTGTGCGAAATGAGCTTGGATAAGACATCAGCCACTATGATGAAAAGGTATGGGGAGAGGGGATCACCTTGGCGGAGGCCCCGTGATGGAACAAAAGAGGCCTTTTTCTCTCCATTGGCAAAAATAGAGAAACTCACCGTGGAGACACATTCCATGACCCAGTGGACCCATTTCGAATCAAAACCCATTTTCCTCAAAACCATGGCCAGGAAATCCCATTCGATTCTGTCATAAGCCTTATCAAAATCAATCTTGATGGCCATCTGCCCAACCAACCTGGACTTGCGAAGTTTGAGCGAATGAAAAGCTTCATGGGCTACTATGACATTATCCTGGATGAGCCGCCCGGATACAAAAGCTGACTGGTTAGGGGAGATCAAATTCTTCAAAATGCCTTTGAGTCGATTAGCAAGGAGTTTGGTAATAATCTTAAGAATGAAATTACACAAACTGATGGGATGAAATTGCGATAAAATAGTGGGGTTACTGACCTTAGGAATAAGAACCAAGTTGGTTTGATTAAGTTCTTTGAGAATATAACCACCATTGAAGAAACTGCGTACCGCAGTGCAAACAGACCCCCCCACTTTGTCCCAATAATTCTGATAGAAAAATCCAGGGAAACCATCTGGGCCCGGGCTTTAAAAGCCGCCAGTTGAAAAGCTGCCAATTTAATCTCCTCATCACAAAAAGGACGGGTCAGGGCACGGTTCATTTCCGAAGAGACAACGGAATCCACTACTAACAAAGCTGCCGAACAACCCCTGCTACCAAAACTAGTGAACAAAGTTGAATAAAAGTCCAAGAAATGCTGGTTGATTTCGGATTCCGAGCTCAGCCAAATCCCATCTGCATTTTGTATTCGAAGAATTTGGTTCCTTTGACGACGTTGAATCAAAGATGCATGGAAAAAACTCGAATTTCTGTCCCTAAAATTGAGTCAGCGCACACGAGAACGCTGATGGAGGTACATCTCTTCCCTAGATAACACAAGTTCAAGGGCAGATTTGAGCTGGTCTTGAAGTTGGCAATTCTCATCAGAACAAGGTTGCGCTTGTAGATTAGCCAATTGTGATTTGATCAAAGCAATCTGAATTTTATTATTGCCAAAATTTTCCTAACTCCACACTTTCAGCCCTTCCCGACATGCTCTAAGCTTCTTTGCTAACCGAAACATTAGAGAACCCATAAATTGGTCAGCCCAATTTTGACGAATGATTTCCGCACAATCTGGGCTAGTAGACCACATGGTTTCAAATTTGAACAACCGCGAAACTCTTTTAAGAGGCAGAGTGCAATTTAGGATTAGGGGGCAATGGTCAGACCCAACCTGAATGTCATGAAAGACCTGGGCATAGGGGTACAAGATTCGCCAATTTGCTGTAGCAACCGCTCGGTCTAGCCGCTCCCGAATGTTAAGGCTTCCACGTTAGTTATTTGACCAAGTAAATGGGGGACCATTGAACTCCAGATCCATGAGAGCACAGTCTGAAAGCAACTCAAGGAAAGCATGTATTTGAGTCATTCTACAAACTGCACCCCCTGCCTTCTCTGTACAAGCACCAATTTCATTAAAATCGCCAATGCACAATCTAGGGTAGTTACTTTCAGACATCAAGCTACGAAACTGAACCCAGAAACATCTCTGAACCGACCGTTGCGAAGAAGCATGAATAAAGTTGGCAACCCAATTGGAAGGGGCAGTTGGCGAGGTAATTACACCGTGGATCACATAGGTAGATTTAAACCGAATATCCAGATCAATGTCATCAGTCCACCAAACAGCCAAACCTCCCGAAGTGCCCACTGGTTCAACATAGGAAGAATGGGAGAACCATAACCGTCTTCTGATACTTTCCAATCTCGATGAGTTATTTTTCGTCTCCATAAGAAACACTACTTGAGGACGATGGGTTGTGACCAACCCTCAGAGGATCTGGACTGTCAGGGTTCGCCCCAACCCCTGACAGTTCCAGCTGATGATCAGCATGAAGGTCGTGGCTGATGAGGGCCAGCCACCCAAGCCCATTCGTCAGACTCATGATTTTCAGTAGGAAGTGAACTGGGAACTTGAAAGCAATCTTCGAGATCAGAGGGGAGAGAGGGTGCTGGAGATAAATTGGGAAACTGCTCTGGCAATGGTTGGAGATCTGCCACCACTTCGACATCAACACCAAGAGTATTTCACCGAATTTCTTCACCTTCTATGTGGCTACCCATTTGCCATAAACTGAGACAGGGAGTGACCTCCCCTAAGGTTTCTAGCAAATACATTAGTATCCTTGTGGTTCTACAAATTATATCTCCTCCCTATGGTTTCCAATCGCATTACAATTTTCTCCCTCCGTTTGTCAATTGTTATGTCAACTAATAGGTAGGGCTGACGCCATCAATTAAAATTTTGAAAATACCAATTTTAACCCTAGCACTATAATCCCTCTCTTGTGTTCTCTCTAATCTCTCTCTGTCCACTGCCTGTACCAAAGTAACAACAGGCATACAAACGGAAGAAAAAGAATGCTTCTCCCCAAAGCTAATCACACAACAATCCAAAGCCAGTCAATTATATACAAAGTATAGGAGACAAAACAAAAATCCCAATTTACAAAATAAAGCCATAAAACCAATCCATTAACACTGACTGAAAATTACGAGTCACCAGCCTCGAGTGCTTAAAGGGAAACCCATTGATCAACCCATGACCAATTGCACAAAACAACAAAAACCCATCACCAGAATTGTTGTAAAACACAAAATATAACAAGAATATTATATAACTCAAATGAAAAGGAGACCAAGCTGAAGAAGCTTACAATAAAATGGGCTTTATAGCTTGGCCACAGTAGAGACCAGACTCACAATGTGTGGCCGCAAAACACAAGTCTTAAAGCTGCGTAATTCTTAGAATCAGTACAATTACAGAGAAGAACGTGAAACTTTACATAGAGTAGCCATTATCGCAGAAGATTCAAATTTTCTTTTCAATTTTCATTAATTTTCTGCGCATCAAAACAGGGGGTAAGAATGAAATAAAACACTACTCCCTGTAACAAATACAACAACTATTCTGTGAAAGTTTAATCTCAGAGGTGAGGCATTACATTACCCATAAGAAACGCTTCCAGCATATAATTTTCCACGAGAATCGGCATCAATTGAACTGTAATAATGGATCTTCATGATAATATAATATAAATGCCGTACACCAACACGAAAGGAAGTGAAGATGGGTTTTGAATTCTGATGGAGCAGCGGTGTCGGGTTGGGAAGTCAGAGAGAGAGAGAGAGAGCGAGAGAGAGAGAGAGGCGGAGGGGGGATGAGGAGGAGGGTAATATTGTAATTTGATTTATTTTTGTTAATTATTAGAGGGCCACGTTTCTGGATAAACTAATTTTTTTTAACAATTTGTTGCCGTTCGATCTGATGATTTTACTTTATTTTAACAAAGAATTAGTTAGAGCTCATTTGTGAAGTGTTTGTTCTTTGATACATTGCGATACAAATTAGATTATTTGTTTAGCCACTTGTCGCTTTATGTGCCTTGTAGATTGTTTTCATTGTTGTCGCATTCAGCGGCAGAGCCAGAAATTTTATGTGAGGGGCACCTATTAATTATAATCTCAAAATTTTTCTTTCCTAATCAATAACAATAAAATAATCATAATATTTTGAGCTAATATTAATCATAAAAACTTAAATATTCATTACAAAAATGTTACTAAACTTTCACAATTGACTCTGATGAGTTTTCATTCATTACAAAAATATCACTAAACTTTCACAATTGACCCAGATGAGTTTTCATCTTTTGAAAGTTTTCCATAATAGTATCATTATCAACGCCATAAAAAATATCTCTTTCTATGCAAACAACCAAGCTATCATTTATCCATTCATCACCCATTCGGTTTCGCAACCGATTCTTTACAATATTTATAGCTAAAAATATCCTCTCAACAATAGTAGTTGCAACAAGCAAGATCAATGCTAAAGTCAGGAGCAAATAAACCAATGGATATACTTTATCTTTTCTAGTCTCCATCATTTTCTTAGCAAGATCGGCTATTCTATTCAACCATGAGAACTCAATACTAGAGAGTATGTCGACAATATATGTATCAAGTTGATTATTAAGCACCATGAGAACTACTGCAGAAATTCATTTGGATAAAATTCAGCAAGATGAATTAAACTTTTCTTGTCAAAATGTGAGGATCCCGCCACGTATAACATTTTACATTTAATTAATCAAGGTGATTTGGATTTTAATTAATTATTATTCTGATTTAATTGCGGAATTGATGAACAATATTGGTGTTGATTCGTATATAATTTTATAAAAGAGCTATTTTGGAATGAGAAATTAAAAGCTTAAGTAGCTTAAGAAGGTGAAATTGACGAATTGAATTATTTTAAATTAAAGTATCAGACCATATGGAGTTCAATTAAATATCTGATTCAGTTTAGTAAAATTGAGATTTTATTAATTGGGTCCAAATTAGAGTTGATTAAGTCATGAAGATTGGAAATTAAGATTATTATGAATTAAATTTACTTATGATGTGTTCAATTGAATATGTAATTTATTGATGAAGATTTTGAAGTTTAATTTTGAAATTGAAGGCCTTAATGATTTAAAAAACCAAAATTGAGGATGGAAATAAGTTTAATTTAATATTTGGAGCCTTTGGGAGTTTGATTAAAAATCTGATTTAGAATGATAAATTAAAATATAATTAATTGGGTTCTAATGGAAGTCAAATTAGACAAATTAGATTATGTGAGATTTGTGATTAGGTATGATTACTTTAATTATGTGTTAATCAAGATTTATTAAGATAAAGTGTTGCTCAATTAAATTAAGCCAAAACATAAATTGCATTAGCAAAGAATCTAGAATTGGGGGTGTATGTTGAGAAATTTGGGTATGCAGAGAAATTCTGTGTGTACTGAGCAAATCTGTGTATGTGTGTGCATGTGAGTGATGTGTTGGAATTCAAGGATGAGTGCACGTATGAAATGTAAAGAGTGGAGTGTATGTATATGAGGAGAGAGAGAGTAGGCAACTCTATTTTTATTACTTTTTTTTGAATAGAGGACAATACAGAAGAACAACACAGCAAAAACAAACAGAAACCCAGCACAACAAAACAAAACTAAAAAGAAGCAAGACAAGCCACAAGCCCAAGAGGTGGGTTAGAGACCCAGTCAAGAGGGAGACTGTTCCAAAGATGATGATGAGCCACCCAATGTGCCACTTTGTTGGCTGTCCGTGGCCTCCACAAAAAGGAGAAGTCACCTGATTGTGCCATCAGTTTTATATCAACAACCACAGCAGCACATTTCCACGAAGGGACAGATTCTGAGACACTGAGATGAATTACCTATTTGTTATCGCCTGCGATCTCGACACCAGAGAGGTTTAGGGAGGAGGCAAGCTGACAAGCTAAACGACAGGCCAAAGCTTCGCCTTGAAGCACAGAAACTATAGAAACTTATTGTGTTAAACCATCAAGGATGCTCCCCTGTGAATCCCGTAAAACAGCTGCGATGGAAGCTTTGTGAGATCCCTTAAGAGTAGCCATATCACAGTTAATCTTAAAACTCCCACTGGAAGGAGGATGCCACTCAGAATGTTGGGAGATATGGTTCAAGGACTAGCGCCGCATGAGGTTTGAATTCGCTGTAACTTGCAAAAACTCGTCTCTAGCCCATTGAGCTCGTTGAATGGTGTACAAAGGGCCTACTGGTGAGGAATTAAACACAAAAGCATTGTGCTCCTTCCAAACAAACTAGCTAAACCAAGCAACTGAGCTAAAAAAATAGATGCAATCCTCCTTGTGAAGAAAAGACTCTTGAACCGCACATACCCAATGAAGAATTGAGGAGGTAGAAGTCCAGTCCACTCTATAATTCAAGTCACACCCAAACCAAACAGCCCTGACCCATCTGCAGCCAAATAGCAAATGCTCTGTCGATTCCACTGCAGTCTTGCAAATAGGACACATATTTGATGCGCTGTATTTCCTTCTAAATAAATTTTCCTTTGTTGCCAAATCATTCTTGCGCACTCGCCACCAAAAATGGCGAATCTTTGGAGGAACCTTGAGAGACCATACAAATTGCCAAAAATCCCATGGAATCTGAAAAGATGAGGAGGGACATTGATCTTTTGGGTTATTCTCCATCTTACCCGCAATGTGATAACCCGATTTGACTGTGTAATCCCCCGATTTCTCATAATACAAAATCTGCGTATCCTCTTGGTGAGCCAAAGAAATGGGAATCAAACAGATTGCTTGGACTTCGACCGCCGAGACCAGACCCTACAGATCTTCGACTTTCCAAAGGCCATGAGTAGCATCAATTGTGTCCACCACCGCGTTAACCCAGCTGATGGGTGGTTTTGGGAAGGAAATTTTAAAACCCAGGAGAGAAGGGATCTATTTATCATCCCAAAAATTGATGGAAGCACCATTATAAACTTGCCAACGGACACCATTGCACAAGATTTTTCTACTTTGAATCAAACTTGCCCAAGCCCATGAGGCGCACCGACCTCGAGAGGCTTCCATGAAATTAGAATGAGGAAAGTAGATTCCCTTAAGCATTCTAGCACAGAAAGAATTAGGATACTTTACCAGGCGCCATCCTTGCTTTGCTTCCAAGGCTAGATTGAAGTCATGCAAGTCTCTAAATCCCAACCCCCCTTCAGATTTTGGCAGAGCCAACTGGGCCCAATTTACCCAATGAATGCCCTTACTCTCCGGGTCACCATTCCACCAGAATTTGCTTATGAGAGAATTGAGCTTGGCACAAAATTTCTTAGGGAAGATAAAGCACGCCATGGTGTAAGATGGGATGGCTTGCACCACAGCTTTAATTAAAGTTTCACGCCTTGCATGAGATAACAATTTAAGTTTCCAGCCCTGCAATTTAGCTTGTACACGCTCAATAATAAAACCATAAGCCTCCACCTTTGACCTCCCCTAAAAAGTTGGAAGGCCTAGATACTTTGCATCAACCGGAGTTTCTCGAAACCCAGAGAGATTTCTACTGCTACTCTGAAGGGGGAAAGGGACATTGAGCAAGAATTGGACACTAGACTTGTCAAAGTTGACCAATTGACCGGTTGCATTACAATAGGAACTCAAGATATCCAAGATCTTCAAACATTCAGACTGATTTGCTTTGAGGAAAAATAAAACGTCATTCGCAAAGAGCAAGTGAGAAAGAGTGGGACAGTGTCTATTGATCTTGAAACCCGAAATTTGTCCCATGTGAAGATTGTGAGTGATCAATTTGGATAAAACATCCGCAACTAGGATGAAGAGATACGGAGAGAGAGGGTCTCCTTGTCGTAACCCTAGAGATGGAGTAAAAGCAGCCTGCTTTTCACCATTGACAAAGATAGAAAAGATGACCGTAGTGATACATTAGGAAACCCACTAGATCCATTTCGGAGCAAAACCCATTCGGCGTATAAGCTCCAATAAAAAATCCCATTCAACTCGATCGTAAGCTTTATTGAAATCTAGTTTAATGGCCATAAACCCATCATGCCACGTCCTCTTATGTTTTAAAAAGTGAAATGCCTCATGTGCTATGATAGAGTTGTCTTGAATCATTCGTCCCAGCATAAAGGCCGATTGATTGGAAGAGATTAGAGATTTCAGAATTTGTTTTAGCCGGTTTGCAAGGATCTTGGTGATGATCTTCATAGTGAAATTATGCAAGCTAATATGCCTGAACTGGGATAACTTCACAGGGTGACTCATTTTGGGGATAAACACCAAATTGGTGTGGTTTAGTTCTTTGAGAAGATGACCACCTAGAAAGAAACTGCGAACTGCAGTGCATACATGAGGCCCAACCACAACCCAGTACTTTTGATAGAAACACCCTGGAAAACCATCAGGCCCTAGAGACTTAACTACACCCAATTGAAACACCGCAACCTTTACTTCCTGATCGCTAAGGGGTCGCACCAGAAGTTGATTCATAGACTCAGAAATGACTAGAGTCACCATAGATAAGACGTCCTCCACATTCTTTTGCCCAACGCTGTGAAACAAATTTGAGAAATACCCCGAGAGATGTTGATTGATTTCATGTTCTATGTGTAGCCAAACTCCCGCCTCATTCTGAAGCCTCAAAATCTGATTTCGTTGACGACGTTGAATCATTGAGGCATGAAATAAGTGGGAATTCCTGTCACCATAACTCAACCATCTAATACGAGACCATTGATGCAAATACGTCTCCTCACGGGATAAGGCATCCTCCAAATCCACCTTCAACT